AGATGCCTGTGTTTTGTATCAATGTTCTTATAACTGAGTCAGAGAGTCTTTGCTTAAGTACTATTGACTAATGTTAAATCCTTATTAATTGACTCCTGTGTGAGCCTTCACTTTCCTCCAACAAACTGCAAATACTGGCTCAGGCTAAAGGTTGCTGAAGCTTTCCTCAGCTCTAACCAGACAATTTTCTATTTACAACTTCTCAGTGAGAAAGCTCACTGTGAAGTAGGAGTGAGAGTATATTTTTGTTTGTGTATAAAAGTAATTCATGCACATGAAAAAATATTTTTTCTAAGTAAAAGTAAAATTGTATTGCATGGATATTAAAATTTTCTCTTCCTCTGAATCTCAAATCCTTTGTGAGTGTATCCACAAAAAAGAGCATTTTGCCTATTATCCACACACACATCCATACACATGTTTGCTTAGTTTTCTCTTTTCCTTTTTATGACAGGCATTTTAAATTCCTAGTGAAGAAAAAGTATTTCTTGTCCTGAAGTCTGGGCTAAAATTAGAGTCCCCATTTGTGAGGCCCCATGGTAATTCCATTGCAACACCCTTAACACATCTTTAAAAAGAGAGCTCAACTGACAAATAACCGATAACTAGTAAATAAAATGTCGTCTTTCCATAAAACAACTTGAATGTGTTATGAATATTCATAGCAGCATTATTCATAATAGCCAAAAAGTGGAAACAACCCCAATGTCCTTCAGCTGATGAATGGATAAACAAAATGAGGTATATCTGTACGATGGAATGTTATTCAGCCATAAAAAGGAATGAAGTACTTGGGCGCCTGGGTGGCTCAGTGGGTTAAGCATCTGAATCCAGCTCAGGTCATGATCTCACAATCAATGAGTTGGAGCCCCACATCAGGCTCTGTGCTGACAGCTCAGAGCCTGGAGCCTGCTTTGGATTCTATGTCCTTCCTCTCTCTCTACCCTTTCCCCACTCATGCCCTGTCTTGCGCTGTCACTCAAAAATAAGCAAATGTTAAAAAAATTTTTTTAAATACAAAGAAATAAAAAAAGGAATGAAGTACTGATATATGCTACACCATGAATGAACCTTGAGAACATTATGCTAAATAAAAGAAATCAGTCTCAAAGACCACATATTGTATGATTCCATTTGTATGAAATGTCCAGAATAGGCAAATCTATATAGACAGAAAGTAGATTAGTGGTTGCCAGGGGGACTAGGGGAGGAAAGAATGGGGAGTTACTGCTGATGGATGCGCATGTGGTTTTCTTTTGAGGGTGATGAGAATGTTCTAAAATTGACTGAAGTGATAACTGTGCAATTTCTGCAAATATACTAGAAATCATTGAATTGTACATCTAATTATTTTTTAAATTTAAGTCTACTTATTTATCTTTGAGACAGAGAGAGAGGGGAGAGCAGGGAGGTGGGGAGGAGCAGAGAGAGAGGGGAAGAGAGAGAATCCCAAGCAGGCTCCCATGAACTGTGAGATCATGACCTGAGCCAAAACCAAGAATCATATGTTTTACTGACTCAGCCACCCTAGTGCCCCTGAACTGTACATTTTAAATAGTAAATAGTATGACATGTGAATTATATTTTGATAAAGCTGTCATATATATAAAGAAACTCAAAATATTAGTATATAATTTGCTGTCCTATATTGCATCATTAAAGTAAATGTCATGATTTCCCTTTTACCTATGACAAAACTGGACCTAAATCTGGTATTTGTTGTTTGCAAAAAAATTATGAAATATTAAAAAAATTCCCCTTGTCGTTTAAATAATATTAAATTTAAAATAAAAGCTATAGAGGGGCATTTGGGTGGCTCAGTTGGTTAAGCTTCCAACTTCAGCTCAGGTCTTGATCTTGCGGTCTGTGAGTTTAAGCACCGCATTGGGCTCTGTGCTGACAGCTCAGAGGCTGAGCCTGCTTCAGATTCTGTGTCTTCCTCTCTCTCTGCCCTTGCCTACTCATGATCTATCTCTGTCTCTCTCTCTCAAAAATAAATAAGCATTTTTTAAAAATAAGTAAATAAAACAAAAGCTATAAATAAAAAAATAATAGTGGTTGATGCAAAAATTGGGCCAAATGATTTTTGAGATCTCCTTTAGGACTAATTTACAAGTAATTTTACAGAATTATAAATCAACAAAGTTAAAATTGAAATGAAAGTACATCCCACATGTTTATTTTCTGGGTAGAAGCCAGAATATTTAGTACCTTGGTCAGACTTTAATATTGTTCAAGAGTTAAGCTTATACTGGGAAATTGTACCCTTGATTTTTTTAAGTTTATTTATTTATTTTAAGAGAAAGAGAGAGAGCATGGGGCAGGGGCAGAGAGAGAGGGAGAGAGAGAGAGAATCCCGCGCAGCCTCAGCACTCACAGCACAAGCTGGAGTCAGGTCTTAAACTTGAATTCACAAACCATGAGATCATGACCTGAGCCAAAATCAAGAGTCAGACACTTAACCAACTGAGCCACCTACGCACCCCCACCTTTCAATTAGTTGTTACATAAAATTAAATGTCTAAGATGAGAATTATATTCATAAAACAGGAGATGATTTCCCTCCACTTGCTTCTCTGGAGTAGTTGCCTTCCTCATCCTCTTCCTGTCTTCTTTGCTAACGGTAACTAAGCAAATGAATGTAACACCATCTGCTGATGGTATTTTGGGAACTTCAGAGAAGCCCAAAACACAAACCTCATGGCTGAGTCCTGCCCCTGTGCAATTTCGTCCTGGGCACCAGAGACCATTCCTTGGAAGAGGATACGGAACTGAAGCCTCTGAAAGAGAAAAGGCAAAAAGAAAAGAAAACAAAAAGCTGTCTTCAAAAATATTGCATTATTTAATTGTTAATTATCTTTTTTTAAAAAATAAAGTTTATTTTTGAGAGAGACAGAACAGGGGAGGGGCGTGGCAGTAGGGGGACAGAGGATCCTAAGCGGGCTCTGCACTGACAGCAGAGAGCTTGATGCGGGACTTGAATTCATGAACCATGAGATCATGACCTGAGCCAAAGTCCAACACTTAACTGGCTGAGCCATCCAGGTGCCCCCATTAACAATCTTTTAAACCAATCCTTCTTTTGTGCATCTGTCATCCCACCAAAGGAGTGTCTTAATAAGAAAGTTCAGCAGCCCATACTAGCAGATGAGGAAACAGAGGTTGAGGGAATAAAAGGGGATGTAGGCTGGGACCCTTGCTGCCAGGATCCAGTGTGTAGGGAAACACCGTGCCTGTGGGAAGAGAGCTCCCACTGCAGTGCATGGCTGGACCATTAAGGTCTTCCTGAGGCTTCTCTAAGGAGTGAGAAGAGCTGAAGCCTGGACTGCCCAGAGTGAGTGAAAGGATAGGCTGTTTGGGAAAGGAATACGCTCCAGGTGTCCAAGGCATGAAACTTCTATTTCTGCTTTTTTCACTAGGTTGGTGGCTTTGCTCCTCCTGCCCTTCTGTAGGACTTCAGGCTTATTAGGTCAAAACACTCCTTTTATACTCTGAACTATTCTTATTCTTTTATTAGGTGGTGAACTACCATATTGAAATTTTCATTAAGCTTCAGGTATTCTATTAACCAACCTCCCTCAACCTCTGTTTCCTCATCTGGGAAATGGGACTCATAATACCTATGGATGGAATTGTGAGGACTTAATAAAAACCAGCACTTCCAGAGAACTTACCAGGTGCCTGGCTCTGTTGAAAGTGCTTTACATAAAAATTCATTTAGTCGTTACAACAGTTCTGTGAAGTAGAGGCTGTTGTTATCACCATTTTTAAGACAAGGAAATTAAACCACAGAAAGGTTAAGAAATACATCCAAGTTCACACAATTAGGAAACAGAAGAGCAAGGTTCACTCAATACCATTAACCATCTGGCTCTACAATGTTTGTAACCATTAAGTAACACTGCCTACTAAATGCAAATATTTAAGGCTTGGCACATAGTAGACTCCCAGTAAATATTATCTATCAAAATAATGAGTGTTACAAGACCGAAAATAAAGACAGCACCTCAGTCTGGGCATCCCTCAATGCCTAACCATGCCTGAAAAGTGTCTTGTATCCAGAAATTACCCAATATGTATTTGTTAACTTGAATCCATTTTGTCAGGGCAGTACTGACTTTTTTTTTTTTAGTTTATTTTTTGTTGAGACAGGGGCAGGGAGAGGCAGAGAGAGAGAAAGAGAAAGAAGGTGAGAGAGAATCCCAAGCAGACTCCACACAGGGCAGTTCTGAGTTTAAGCCCCTTCTCTGTGCCAGGTGCTGTGCTGAGAAGAGAGAAGATACAAAGATTATTTAGATATGAACATGTAGCGTCATGTTACTGATCCAGAAAAGCTAATAAAATGCTAGGCTGCATTAATAGACATATAAAGTATAGGGAAGATAAAATTTACACCTCCTTGTTCTTCATCACCCAAATCCCATCTTTCAAATCTATATAATTCATGAATCCACACACACATATCCCCCATCTCTCTCATCCCTGCCCCAATCCAAGCTGCCATCTTCTCTCTGACCTCTTAACTGGTTGCTAGCACTCACTTTGGTTCCTTAACAATCTATTTGATCATTGCCACCTCTTTGCTCTGTTATTAAACCATTCTATGACTTCTTGCTCCCAAGATAACCTTCATGGTACAGCGTAGGAAGCTCTGTCCATCTGGCCCCTTCCTGCCAATCATCCTAGTCTCATCTATACCACTCTGGACTCTAGCTACACTGGCTTTCTTTCAGGCCTTGAATGCATTATGCCCACTACCTTCCTCATGGCCTTTTGTATGTATTGTTGCAACCATTTAGAACACATTCCTGGGCAAATGGCTACCCCAGTAGACAGTAATTCTTAAAAATTATTAGAAAAGCATTTTGTATAGTATAGAAAATATTTTAGAAATAGGAATATGTATAATATTCAAAGTAAAAGTCTCCTCTTCCTCAGTCTCACTTTGCACAATTACCTTCATTAATAGCTTATTGTGTATGTCTGTCAGATCGAGGATCAGAAATTCAGATGATGTAAGAGTGAGCCTACCAGTGGGAACTTCGATGAACTGGAAGGTATGTCTCCCCTAAAGAAGACAGTCTTTACTCAGGTAGAGAAGACTGCTGCCACATGGGAATGTGGGCCTGGGCCTGCTGTATTTTATTATTATTTTTTAAGCCATGAACTCAGATTTTTTTAAATGAAATATCCTGACATTTCAAAGTTGGCAATTAATTCAAACTCTGACAGGACTAAACCAAATACTCTTAAGCTACCAGTGTGTAACCTCTGTGCTAAACTTCACTGATTCATAGATAATTACTTTATGTGTATATGAGTGTGGTCATGGGCTGTATTTTGTGTGCAGGGCCACTGCATAGGGCTGTGCAGGTGCACTGTACAACCAGCCCCAGAGGTACCAACTATAAAGAGCTGTGCTGTCCCCGTATGGCATCCACTGGACCCCTGTGGTTATGGAACCCTTGAACCATGGTGTAGGAATAAAATACATACCAGATTTCAAAGACTTAGTACAAAAATGAGAATATAAAATATCTTATTGATAATGTTTCTATTGGGTACATGTTGAAATGTTAATATATGGATATATTTAGTTATAAAATGTTATTTAAATTAATTTTGCCTGCTTTTACTTTTTTTTTTTTTTTTTTTAGAAAAAGAGACCATGAATAAGGGAGAAGGGCATAGGGAGAGAGAGAGAATCCCAAGCAGGCTCCCCACTATCAGCACAGAGCCCAACATGAGGCTCAAAATCAAGAGCTGGACGTTCAACCAACTGAGCCACCCAGGCTGATTTTACTTTTCAATGCTACTAGAAAATTTAAAATTACTGATGTAGCTTGTATTTATGGCTCACATTGTATTTATATTGGACACACTATTGTGTGGAAAGTACCTCCAGGTCTCTATTTTATACAATTTACAAAACCATCCACGGTGGCCATGTATCCTACACATACTGCCAGTTATAAAGAAGTAGTGCTTAGCTCTGAAAGGTTAGGAAAGTAAAGAGTGGGTAGAGAAACTGTGACAGCAAGCCTGTATATGCTACTTTCCTGATACTCAGGAGTCAGAGTTTCCTCGCCTAAAAAATCAGTATTACTGAATGGGATAGATTTTTCAGTTCAGCTTACCTCAGCTGGCAGCCTTCAGGAAGCAAGGGAGTGTAACTCGTAACCCAACAAAAGTCCTTGCAGGCTTGGAACAGTTGTCTTAATTAGGATGCTTTATCTGCAGCAAGCCTTTTAAAAATATGCTCTGCAAATCTGCAGATGTTCATTGGGCTTTAAAAGTTGTTCATCATTACTTTCCTATCCTTGTCATTTATAAAATCTCTCCAGCTTTAATAAGTTTCCCAGTAATAGTGAGACTTGTAAAACTTCTAAGCACTTGACAGCCATTAATGACTTTTCTCATCATCAAGGGAGTCAGTTGTTGTCAGCTCTATTTTACAAGAGAGACTGTCTCAAAAGCTAGAATTAGAATTCAAGAGTACCTGCAAATTGACCCAGAATTTTTGCTGTCTAAAGTGAATCTGACTTTCCTTATAAGACATGACTGCATTAATTACCAACAATCTCTCCCCGTTCCTCTTCCTTCCCTCAAGAAGCCCTAGCTGCACACGAATTTGCAGCATAAAAACCTCAAAGCCACTCCTGACTTTAATGGAGCCAGACTGAACCTTTTGAAAGTAGGTCTCAAATTTCTTTCCATTTGTCATGCAAACATCTAAGATTTCTACTTGAATTACGAGCATGAGAATTCTGTGTAGGAAATGACAGTCCTTTCTCTTGCCTCCAGGTAAACAAGTTCATTACAGTGGAGATTTCTGGGCACTTTGCCATCACCTTGGTCTACAAATGGCATCCTCAAAGCCTAAAGCTATCTCTGGCACCTGTGGAATGCAAGCTTTTCCATCAATGCTTACCTGAGGAGGTAAGTCCAGAGGTTTCTTTAATCATCTTCATGGCTTCACCTCCGTGCAGACTAGAGGAGGAGCAATGCTAACTGATTTTAGATTTTTAAATATTTTTTAATGTTTATTTTGAGAGAGAGCAAGAGCAAATGGGGGAGGGGGAGAGAGAGGATCTGAAGTAGGCTCTGTGCTGACAGCAGAGAGCCTGACACAGGGCTCAATCTCACAGAGAGATTGACACAGAGCTCAGTCTTAGCAGAAGTCAAATGTTCAACCGACTGAGCCACCCAGATACCCTTGATTTTAGATTCTTGCAGTATTTTCCTTGCTACAGTAAGGATGCTGGAATCTTGGCTAATTAGAAAGCCTTCAAAGGCTGTTACTGGGCATTACCTGTGAAGTAACTAGAATAAGGAGAGCTTAGAAGGGAAAGGTAGACTTAGAAGAAAAATGATCACCTGGTTTCTTCTAAGGTCATGATTCCTACACTTTGGAGAATTATCTTCTGTCTCCTACTTGGGTGAATTGTTTGCATTTATATAATCATGATTTCTTAAAATAGTGTGGGGTTCATATATTGTTTTTTACTAAAGCAAAATTAAATTCATTTAAAGTCACTATTTTTCAGCATAAGTAACATTCTAAAGGCACTTGTAGATGGGCATTGCAAAAACTATGGCTCAGAAGAATGTCTCTTAATAATCACTTGACACTTGCACTAACTCTCTATTGAGGGATATTAGACTAAAACTTTTGTCAAGAGATGAGACATTAAAACATCAGTATCTCTAATTTTGTGTAGTCAAATAATGGGAAAGCTTGACTAATTCTGATCAAACTTTTGAAGATTTTAAAATTTTGAGTGTATTTATAGGAATGATACACATATTACAAAACATGTATGAACCTTTAATAAAAGATCTTTAGTATTAGGGATGGGCATCAAAACTGTGTTACTCTTACTTATAGCGTAGAAATATCATGCTTATTTCACATATGCTGAAGTTGTATAATTTTTGACATAAATAGTGCCTTTACATGAAGCTATCTTGCCTCCTTTGTTTTTAATGACCATGTCATTTGAAAAGAGCTTAATACTCTCTCTCAGCCATTCCCCGCTGTCAACCCCTTCTCCAGAGAAGCTATGGAGTTATTCAAGGCCTATAAAGTGAAGTGCAAACATATGAAATCCACAACACAGGACAAAGACCTAAGTGTGAAACAGTAACTATTTTGATATTGCAGGCAAAGGTAACTTTTAGTTTTCATTTTATTGTAGAGTTATTTTCCTCTTCCAACATAGGCTGGATTTGTTACAAAGAGCTGAAGAGTCAAGCATTTGCACACAGATGGGCCCATTTATATAGTTACTGGAAGGAGCATAGGATGACTTTTGTTTTTTCTTGGTGTTTAACTTTCCTTAACATCTTAGCCACTTCTAAGTGTACAGTTCAGTGGCGTAAGTTCACAGTTCACAATGTTATGCAGCCATTACCACCATTCATTCCCAGAACGTGTTCATTTTGTAAAATTGAAGCTTAATACCTAGTAAACAACAGTTCTCCATACCTCCGTCTCCCAGGCTCTGGCAACCCCCATTCTACTTCCTGTCTCTATGAATTTGACTATTCTAGGTACCTGACATAAGTGGAATCATACAGTATTTGTCCTGTTGTAACTAGCTAATTTCACTTAGCATAATGTCCTTAAAGTCCATCCATGTTGTATAAGCTGTCAGAATTTTCTTCATTTTTAAAACCGAATAATACCTCATTATACCACATTTCATTTATCTGTTCATCTGTTGATGGACACTTGGATTGCTTCCATATTTTAGCTATTGTGAATAATGCTGCTATGAACATGGGCATATAAATATCTCTTTGAGACCCTACCTTCAATCCTTTGAGATTTGTTTCCAGAAATATAACTGCTGGATCATATGGTAACTCCATTTTTAATTTTTTGAGGAACCACCATACTGTTTTCAATAGCAGCTGTGCCATGTGGTATTCCCATTTACAGTGCACAAGGATTCCAGTTTTCTATATCCTTAAGAATACTTATCATTTTCTGCATTAAAAAAAAAAAATAGTAGCCATCTAGGGTGCCTGATGGCTCAGTCGGTTAAGCATTCAACTTCAGCTCAGGTGATAATCTCTCAGTCTGTGAGTTAGAGCCCCACCTCAGGTTCTGCGCTGATAGCTCAGAGCCTGGAGCCTGATTCAGATCGTCTCTCTCTCTCTGCCCCTCCCCAGCTCATGACTCTGTCTCTGGCTCTGTCTCTCTCAAAAAGTAAATAAACATTAAAAAAATCTTTAATAAAAATAAAATAGTAGCCATCCTATTGGCTGTGAGGTGATATATTTAACTTTTTAAAAATTAACTTTATTGAAGTGTGATTTATTTAACAACTTTATAAAATGCATCCATTTTAAGTGTATATGCTTTGATGAATTTTAACAATATTGAGTGGTTCATGAAATTGTGAATCTAGGAATCCTTGTTTCTTAAGGAGGCATTAATGGCTTTTGGGCAGGATAATTCTTAGTTGTTCAAGACCATTACAGAATACATCCCTGACCCCCACAAACAAAATCAGTTAAAAGGCCCATGCACATTTGTGAATGCCCCCAAGGTACTACTTGGGTAGTACAATATTGGGTACAATATTTTATATTGTAATTATTCCTGGGGAAATATTTGGGTATATGTGTAGGGAAATCAATCATAAGATTATTCTAGTGATCTAGCCAAGATATTATGAACTGAACTAAGCTAGCAAGAATAGAACATAGATGAGAGCTCCAAGTTAACTAAGAGGCAGAATTCATAAGACAGTATTTTGGCTTACGTGTTGAGATGGAAAATCACTCACCAAGTAAGAGCAGGTAGAATGAACAAAGAGGGCCAAGTAAACCAACACTTGAGGGTCAGGTAGAGAAATAGCAGGAGAACCATGTCACTGTGGTGGACATGTTAAGAGCCATATCTTTCCCCTCCCTCTTGTATGACAGACTCTGTACTGCAGGGTTTGGAAAGCTAAAAACTGTATTTCCAGACTCTCTTGCAAGTGCATTTCTAGATACATATTAAGCCTATTAATTCGATGTATTCATATGGGATTTGGAAGATGGAAATGAGAAACCATTTTCTTGCTTTGGCAAACAAGATCATGGAGAAGTTGGGTTTTCTCAGCAGCACTGCATTATCTAATCACTAGCATCATAGATTATGAGACACAATTGTGGCAGCTTCCTGGTTCTAACCTCACAGCTTTAGTGGACTGTTCCAGAGCCCCACAGCTCCAGTGGCACTTCCTTGACCACACTTGCATGATCCAGGCAGAGGCAGCAGCTCCCCTGGTCAGTCAGTTAGTATTCTGGGAACAGCTAGAGACTGCCACTTCCCCTCTTTTGGTGATTTTATAATCAGATACTTGCAAAAGGGCTAAAGAGTTTTCTGTTTCCTGTGATTGATAATAACATACAAAATAAAATGAGTTTCAAATGAGGGAGTGGTTATAGGATGAGCCTTCCAGAGAAGCCAAGCAAATGAAAAATAAAAAGCATCCATTAGGTTTGTCTTAGCAGGATCAACAGTGACTTCAGCAAGAACGATTTCAGGGTACAGGTCCAAGTGGGAAACTTCTTATAGCAAGCTGAAGAACAGATACCTGAAAATATAGAAACTCTTATGTTATTATTGGCATTTGCCCATGCTTTGGATTTGTGTAGTATGAGAAAAGAGTAGTGGGTGTCCGAAACCTATGTTTTAGGCCCTTGCTCCAAGCGTTCTAGACCAGTTAACTTCTTATGAGTCAAACCACTTTCATGCTCGCTCTGCACTGGGGCAGCTTTCTGATCTCTAGATGGCAGTGACAATAGTCCAGATTCTTCTTCTTCCTCATTGTGGCAGACTTAGCAGTATCCTTGCACTTTGGTTCTGGGGTTGTTCTGGAAGGGAACAATCTGACAAGCTTGCACTGAAGTGACATGATTTCTTGTATGTGGAGCCCAAGTCTAATTTCCCCTATTTGTTCTGCTAGATCCTTTTGGAGTGTCTCCCTCACCCCATAATTCCCGTGCCTCCACTACTCAATGCCACGTGAGAAGGCCCTTGCTGGTTTCTGTCTGAGTTGGAGGAAGGCAAATCCACACCCTCTGGCCCAGGCCTCTTTAGCTTCTCTAGCCTGGAGTTGGATGATCTTTAGCTCTTAAGTAGCCAAGAGAATTTGGTACTATTAAACTGGTGATCATTTATTAGTTTCTTAATATAAAACAATACTTAGAAATGATGCTCTTTATAATATTTATAAATTGATTGAAGTATGCTTACCATCATCATTTTCCAATATAAAAAAATGCACGGTCTTTGGTTTCTAGGGAAAGTAATATCACAAAATCCCTTTGATATTCATAGAATATGGTTAAGTATGGGAGGAAAATTGGATGATGAAATAGTATGATCAAAAGTGGAATCAAATAACATTATCAAAAGTGGAATCCAACAACACAAATAAAAATATATTCTTTTTTTAAAAAAGAAAAATATATTCTTACTATGTATTTTAAAAGACTAGAAGGATGTATGCCTAATTTTGGGGGGTTGAATGCATTACTTTTGAAATAAGAAAAACTATTTTTGAAATGTGTGAAATTCCCACAAAGATGAAACATTATGAGCAATATTATGAAGTAAAATAAATAGGAAAAAAATGTTATTGCAGTTCTGAAGGTTTGACACCATAATTTATACTCATTTCTTTCATTAAACCTACACTTTCCAAAGACTTAGAATGAGGACACCTTCTTCCCAAGTCATGGAAAGGCTTCTTGTGTTTCTTTCTGAATAGACTGATATATTTATCTCTCGCATTTACAAATAGCATTAACTTCTCTAAATAACTCCTACAATCAGCAATTTTCCCAGACATCCCCTCTTTCCAAAATAAATGTTCAAGGTCGTGCAAGCAAAAATAATGAATCATCTTCTCAACTGTGGCAACTTGCCTCTTTTT